TGCAAAGCTCACCACGTTGTGGATGAACTTACATCATGATATACAGTTGATAGGGGCCAGGATTGAACCAAAATCCAGAAAATCCATTAAAGCTGGGTGCACCCCTCAAAAACGGTTTTGATGTCGCAAAATATTGAAACCCTGTGGAACCTGCGAAAACCTGATTTTGGACATTCTGTCAAAACTAGGCTCCTGCAAGCTTTTTCGAAAGCACCCCGGGGCTGTTTCAGGCCCGGTGGCCTTAAGGCAAAATCAGAAGCCAAAAATAGCGCCGTAAACCTACCTTAGTAAAAAAAATTGCATTTGCCGTGGCTCGGCAAAACCCAGGTTTTGACCCTCAAAGCCAACTCCCGAAAATGCATTCGAGCTGCCTGAACCCCTCAAACATGGGTTTTGATGTTAGCAATTCTGAAAACCCTATAAAACCTGCAAAACCTGATTTTGGATATTCTGTTCAAGCCCAGTCCCCTACAAGATTTTTTGTGTTGTTTCGGTACGGTTATGGCCTGAAAACCAGGCTCTGATGTCAAAGAATCCAAAAAATCCTGAGGAACCTGCGAAACCTGATCTTTTTGACACTCACATTAGGACAAGCCGGGCAAGGTCTGTAGCGATACTGGTCTAACGATTCATTACCGTCCTACTTGGCCCGTGTCGCCACGTACGAACAGGCTCAGGTAGGGCTAGCGACAGGACAGCAACGCGAGTGTACAACCAAAAAATTAAGCCCGTCTGACAGCAGTCCTCCAGGAAAGCAAACGTTCTATGCCCGACATTAGTAGGGTTCCTGCCTTTTGACCGGGACGTTGCAGATTTTTTCCTCCCCTTGACGTGCCACATCGACGGCAGCAGATGGGTGGCCGGTTACACGACCCTTCCAGCAACTTTAACGGAAAATCCGATGCCGAAAACGTTCTAAACCGATTTTCACACACACGGAGTTGCCTTTGGGAGCGTATTTTTTAATGGAGGCTAGTTTGTTATGTTTTGTTCCTCAAGCTGATCTCTGCGAAAACATAGGCATGATGACTAGTTTTTCTGTAGCGTATAGAGGTTATTAATGTCCAGGCTTGCAGTTTCGTTCTGCGAACACTCCTGACATGTAAGCATCGCACGAGTGACATCATGTTGCTGCTAGATCGGTCGGAAAATGGCGACGGTTTTGTTCCTCAGGATGCGCTTCAAACACCTATTTAAGCGTTACACAGACAAAAGTCAGGTTCGCATACAGGCCAGCATACAGACTTCGCACTCCGGCCAGCATAAAAACAAGTCCGGCTTGGCTAAATGGGGCCAAAACCCCAGCTCAGTGGGACCCAGCCGCCCCCCTTCCCACCTGGCCAGCATTAAAACAAGCCAGCTTAGCATTAAAAGCGGAAACCGATAGCATAGATGGAGAAGCCTCGGGCATAAGAGGGAGAACCCATGAGCATACGCAAACAACCGTGTCGGCGACGGGATGGAGGCACGGAGGTCGATGGAGACGTGGGAGTGGCCAGCATAAAAAACAAAAACCTTGAGCATAAAAATTAAAATCCAGCCCTTTGTTGTTGCGATCATCTCTGCATCTGTTGGCCTGCAGCAGCCAGAAGTATCCAGGGTGCAGGGCAGGATGATGTCGAAGCTGGAGCGCAGGATCGATGTCATGCCCAAGTTTGCCGTACTCACCTGGCCAGTCCCAGCACCCGGAATCCCGCAGCTACGAAGCAATTCATTCAAACTGTCCGCTCGTAGGAGCCTTACATACTGCAGGGATTCTTTGCAGTCGCATCGCTGCCTTGTAAGTTATAAGTGGGATAAGGAACCCTCTAAAAATATGACAGTTTCTGCTTATCAAGAGGGTCCATATAGCTCCCCAAAGCCATGATCAGGATGGCTTTCTGGGACCGAAGCTCACTAACGGCAGTTTTTATGGACTCTCTGGGTTTTCTCTGAGTATCATGACCCTAAACCCTAAACCCTAGATTTATCACAGCCTTCCAAAGCAGGTCCGTCAAGGTCTTGTGATACTCGTCGGACATCAACACCAAGTAGACGATACAGCTGCACTTCGTCCCGAAGGTGAACAGAAAGCAGCACTTCACATCTCCGTGGTTGAAGTTGATCCCAAAGATGGGCAGAAGGAAGGCCATGCAAAATCCGGCATAAAACAGCAGCAGTACCTGAACCAGCTTCGGCCGGGTGCTTCGGTTGGGCAGATCCTTCGGGGCATGCTCCTCAAAGGCGGAGCACCACTTCAAGATGTCGCGTGCTGCGCCGGTAGACATCAAGAAGCATAGCACCACCGAGCTCCACTTCATGCCTGCAACGGTCTAGGGTTTAGGGTTTAGGGATGTTAAGGGTACCGAGCTCCACTTCATGCCTGCAGACTTGGTTTCGCAGGCCACCCAGCAGAGGATGACGTAGAAGCTGGTGAGAAGAAAGGGCCGAGTAATATCCCTCAGGGGGCGCCCAAGTACGAAGTGGCCAGAAACGCACAGGATCAAGGGCACATCAATCCCCCACCTCGGTTCCCCGGTAGCCCTCTAAAAACAAGGGTAGCCTTCTTCCTACTATTTGCAATTGATAATAGAAAACCCAGAAAGAGAAAGGGCAAGAGGGTACTATTGGGGAACCCAGCCACTCAACGCAGCGGAAGGTCCAAAGCGCCCGGTTGGACGCGAGCCCGTGGTCGTACAAGGGAGACTTCTCGAGGCGGTTGCTAAAGGAACGTCCTTCTTGGTAGGGGCTGTTTAGGGTTTAGGGCTTAGGGTTTAGGGTTTAGGGTTTAGTTTAGAGTTTAGGGTTTAGGGTTTAGGGTTTAGGACGTCCTTCTTGGTAGGGGCTCGTTTGAAATTCCATGAGCCAAATCGCCAAAGCCCATGACCCCCAAGTCACGACCCGCGAAAGGGCCCGGGACATTGTGTCCATGGCCCAATACGCTACCAAGCACGTTTTCCCGAGTGAGCCAAAGCTGCAGTCGTGCTGGTGCGAGTCCTGCAGCAAAATATCCAAAGCAGTAGGCACACATGGGAGGGGGGGTGAACTGTCAGAGTACCTTCAAAACGAAAAATGAATCGGCTTCTAGCTACGGGCTGGAGGATGTCACTTTTTGATTGCATCATACCGAAGGTGCAGTCGTTCAGGATCGATACACAGCGTTTTGCTTTATGCAGAAAATCAGATGGTGACGGTGGCCTGGCAGGGGTAGGGGCGGATATGGATTCTGCAGGTGAAGAGGTGCACCAAGGATGACTACAGTGATGCCCTTCATGCGGACCCGAATCCACGAATCGCCCTTGGTGAGATTGGGCGTGCACCAGACGGAACTCCATGAGCATTACTCCAAGGGTTACCACGTGTTTGGGTTAACGCCCTAGCACTGACTTTTCTGCTCTTTCGGGATGGAAGCGGCATGCTCGTCGCAACATCCGGTTAAGGGTGTAAGGTTTAGGGCTTTCGGGGCCTAAGGTTATATGCCTCGGGTTTTAATCCCTCTTCTGCTGCTGTTAACTTTCGAGCCAAGGCACCCCGCGAGAAGCTCATGCAGCCTCCTGCAGATGCCAGGTTTCACGGTTTAACTTGTAGGAAGGACTTTCCGACCTGCGTGTCGAGGCTTTGCGTTTGAGCCCTGGGTTACGCTTGCGTTGTAGGATGTAGCCCCCAAGCCGCGTCAACTAAAGGTGCACTGCTAGGACTCACCAGGGTTTCTTCTGCTGCTTTGTCTTATGAAGGCATCGGAGCTCCTGGGAATGGGAGGCTCCTGACTAGTGACTAATGCCTTCCATGAACCGCCGCTGCTTTATGAGGCCGTAGTCTTCGTGTGTCTAAACCAGATTGCCAACAGTCTGGAGTGCAGGGTTTAGGGTCTAGGGGTTTAGGGTTTTATAGAAGTTCTGTAAGCTTCCGGCCCGCAGACCCGGAGCCATCCAACCCTCAAAGGACATATTTGGGCTCCCTCAACTCACAGCACACAATATTTCGCGTTTGCCTGCTTGAAGTGTTTATGATCTCTATGACTCTATGCTGAACCCTGATAACAACCCTTAGTTGAAAAAAACCTTACAAACAACCTTACAGAAACCCCTGCAAAAAAAAAAAAAAAACTTCGCACTGCCCTGACAGAAACCCTTAAAGAAACCACAACCCAAGCCTGGGCAGTGGTCCCACTCGATATCCTGGAAGGGCTTTGTTAAGGGTTTCGGGTTTGGGGTTCAGGGTTTGGGGTTTAGAGTTGTGGGCTTTGCGTTTGGGGTTTGCTTGGGATTTAGGGTTTGGGGTTAGGAGTTTAGGGCTTGGGGTGTAGAGTGTAGGGTTTTGGGGCTTTCGGGTGTTATGTTTAAGGCTTAGGGCATACGGTTTTCGAGGATTTGGGCCTGATCCCGGGATTCTCTATCGGGGCAAGTTTCCCATCTAGCTTCAGGCGGCCGAGCTATAGCAGCAACCCTACTCCCTAAAGGATCCTAAACCCCTCATCCTCGAACCCTAAACCCTAAACCCCAAACCCTCTGAATTTTTTCAACCACACTCGCAGGTTCCAAGAAGTTTCCTGCCGCATCCCAAGTCATCATATCTGCACCTCGACCTCTAAGCACCAAAACAACAGAAGTAAACGGTCGACCTAGCCAAGCCAGTCTTGATACTACTAGCCAGTAGTAAACTGAAGTAGAAGTCGAGTTTGGGGCATGGGAAAACCTCGGAGGCTTGCAAGACCCGCGACTACACGGGGAATCCGTGAATGTCCTCGGCAAATCAGAACTGCGGAAAACAAGGCATCGGGTTTAGGATGACTGAGTCAAAACGATGAGACCTCCTGAGCAAGTTAGATGTTCAAGACTTTCGCCCGTGGGACAAAACAGGCAAAGGGGGGTGGCATGGTTTCCAAACCTTAAACACCAGCAAGACAGTGCCTTCAATCCCAAAAGCCCCTTAACAGTGTCCTCAACAAACAAACGCAAAGACCGCAAATTGAATTCCCTCGTTGAGTCTGTCCTACGGGTCTAGGGCTGAGGGTTTGGAGTATTTGGGGTCGCGGGTCTAGGGGTTTCAGTCTTTCGGTTGAGGGTTTAGGGCTTGGAGTATAGAGTTTAGAGTTTGGGGCTTTGGGTTTTGGGTTTGGGGTGTAGAGTTTAGAGTTTAGGGCTTAGGGTTTAGGGTTTGGAGTGCTTCGTAGGCCTCTTCCTGGGATCCCTGCTACCTTAACCGGACAAACCCTACTTTTTTGTAGTTTCTTATAAGAAAACCACAATATGGAATTTATAGGGAGCCTACAAAACAAGTAGGTTTTGGTAGGTTACGCTACATTTTGGGAGATAGCTTTCAATCGAAGCAACTCTGGAGTCTAGGGAAACACCCAAAACCCCATCTCCACAACTCTAAACGTATAAGAAAGCCTGACTCATTAGAATGAGGTTTTGGGGTATACTATGTTAGAGTTATATAATGACTTATAGGTTTTATAAGCTTCTAGACCATCATAAACGTTAAACACCAAGCCCTAGGCTGGCCAGGGAGCCGTATCGTGCATTGTCATCCGCACCACAGCCCCCTCCACGAAGCCGCGGGCGCGGGCAAGCTGCGCCTTTCCAGGAGCTGGAATTTTGCTTGGGCTCTTTAGGCGGGTTATACGTTGAGGTTTAGGGCTTTAGGGGTTTATGGAATTACTTCAGGGATCATGGGACTTAATTTAATCGGTCTTTGGTTTAAGAAAGGGTAGGCTTTCAGGACATCCAAAGACCTCTGGATTTCCTGCAGTCATTGCTGCTTTTGTGTTGAGGGTTGCCGGGTTTTGGGGTTCTACTTGGAGGGTCATGGGACTTAGTTGATATGGTTGCAAGTACTTTAATTGGGATCAAAAGTAATTCTAAGTACAGTTACCCTAAGAGTGACCATACTTACTAAGTCCCATGATCCTCCAAGCATCTTAGGGTTTGAGGGCAACAGGTCTTAGGCCCAGGGATGATGGGTTTTACGAGTGCTGCATGGGAGCTGTTGAGAAGTGAAAACCGCCCAGAACCACAGATTCGGACACGATAAGCACATGATACATGAGACTTGGCTGATGCTTGAATGACGACCATCAGCCCTAACATGCCCTAAATCACATGAGACGAAGATATGCGCAGCACGTGCACTTCAAGGTATGTCCCCAGACTCTTAAGAAAAAAAACCCTGCTCAATTTGGAACTTCCGGTTCAGGGAGGTCTGTTTCTTCCTGGAGCTTCTTCGGAAGGCGCGTCTGCTTGCTTTAAGGGTTTAGGGTTTAGGGTTTGGGGTTTGGGGTTTAGGGTTTTAAGGTTAACAAAATTTCCTAAATCCTAAAACCCTAAACACTAACATCCTAAACCCTAAACCCTAAATTTCCTAAATCCTAAACCCTAAACCCTAACATCCTAAACCCTAAACCCTAAATTTCCTAAATCCTAAACCGTCCAACTTCTCTGCCGCCTTTGTCGCTCCGAACTCGTCGCCAGGCTCCGAAGTCTCAGCTCCAATCCCGACCCTCGGACCCGGGACCCTAAACCCTAAACCC